TAATACATAAATTATGCATATATTATACCTCCATTGTCTATTTTCAGTTAAAGCGGTTGGGTGGACGGCTATTTGGGTTAATTCTTCAAATTAAAGACCACCCCAAAAAGTGTCATATTTCTGCAATTTACTGGAGTTGTATTGTCTTGCAAAGGGAGGCCCAATGGACCGTCTGGTGTCAGGTCCAAGCTTTACCACATATCTACAGAAGACGGCCCATTAAGATAAATATCTAAATTTGATGGACCATTTTCTTACACATAACATTATCCTCGTCCACGACTAACATATCTTCTCGTATTTAATGGTGGGACATTGACTAGTCGTTTTGCAATTTTGAGCTTGTCTTCAGTCTCATCTTCTTGTTTAGCCTTGAGGAAACACGAAGGTGACCCATTTTAAAATCACATTTAGAAGAATTAACTCAAATAGCCGCCTATCCTACTACTTAAACTAAAAATAGCCAGTGAATGTATAATATATGCATAATTTATATATTATATGTGTATAATTATATATAATCAGTGTATAATATATATATATATATATATATATATATATAGCTAGAAAAAGTAAATAATTAATATGGCCGGCTATTTACTTATGGCGTACTTTCACGTACGAAAACATGGGGTGTAACAGTCGCCCAACCCGGTGACATCTTCCGAAGCAGTATAATCCAGGCCATCGAAGAAATTATGAAAAGAATCGGCTGCTCCTTGGGCCCCTTNTATATATATATATATATATATATATAGCTAGAAAAAGTAAATAATTAATATGGCCGGCTATTTATGAAAATATCCCAATCATTTATGGTTGTACGGACAATACTGGGCCTTGGCCCATCTTAGTTAGGCACCCTATTCTTTCAGCCCTCTATCTATTACTATGGGAAAAAATTCCTTAGCGCAAAGAATTAAATCATCCAAAAAAAGGGGAAAAACGTAGCATCAAAATTGAAATTTAACAAACCATTAAGGTCTATAGTCTAATGGTATGATGAACTCTTATAAAATAGTTGTAGGTTCAATTCTCCTTGTCCCCGTTCTCAGATTCACCTATGCAGATGAAAACTTTAACAAAAAATTAAAGGTATATACATGAGTCATGACTCTCTGTAATATATAAGCTCGTTTGTTCTGATATTTTTTGCTGCTATAGCAAACTGTTGTTATAAAGAATATATATTACTATAACATAACATGAAAAATTAATTTCAAGAAATACTTGACCGTTTTAGTAAAGTATTATCATAGAAAAATATGACTATTATAGAGAAGGCATGAAGGCATATATTTCGGATACTCGAATATCGGAGCTTGAGGAATGAATATAAAAGCGAATTGCATGCAATCCCACATTTAAAATCTCTCGTATGGATTATTTGCAATGATTTGTACTAACATGTAAACAAAAAGTTTGGTTCCTATCATCTCAGCACCACGCAGCTCAATAAGAAATTATATTTTTCCCAAACATTTCAATGTTTACGTACGTTGGATGTGAATGCTGGCCATATTTTGATATATTTTTGTTCTCTTGCAAACATTATTTTCATGTACCAGCTGCATGACACTTCTTCAATCTTCTACAAACTAAATAATTACTCTGCATTATAAGGACAATTGGATATAGTATTATATTATTCAGTGAAAATGAAAGGTTTTAACTCTAGAATTTTCTACCCTAGAAGCTTCACGAATGGACACATGACTTTTGTCTGCTTCGCTTTATTTTCATGGTAGAGCATAACACAGTCAGCTCTTTTCGTTCTACCACAACTCCATGAAAAGACCTCCACTATTTCAGTTAGTTGTTTGAATGCATGGGCATGCAAACCACGTGTCCTTCACGTGACTAGGGCCCTATAATTACCATCCCGACTAGTGGCGGAGCCACATTTTTAGTTAAGGGGTGTCAAAATATATAAAAGTAAACATACCAGAAAACTAAGGGGAGTCAATACATAGTATATATACATATAATTTATTTTTTTTACCTACCTACACAGTGTATTTTTTTCGCGATGGGGTGTCATTTGACACCCCTTCCTATAAGGTGGCTCCGCCACTGATCCTGACCACACATATAACAAATATACTTTACTTTTTTATACGCTAATCAGTAATCACGATAAAATAGTTTTTACACGCTATATATTTACCAGAGAAATAATAAAAACTAAATGTACAGAGTGAGTAACCTAAAAAATAAGACATGCAATAACTTAGTATTATGATATATAAAAAATTATACATTAATAATATAAAATAACTTTACCGCATCAATGTATGAGTTAATTCCTGTTGATATACGGATGGCAAGTCTGATTTTTTATTTATTTATCAAAAATCATTCACCCAAGCTATATTGACCCGAGGTGATGGGTGGTTTGCCCGGACCCCTTATTTGTTTATGGAATTACCCTAATAAATACACAGAGGAAGACATAAACCTTAGTCTCCGAAATGATATGGACTATCTGAATTGAAATGGGAAAGAGGGGTTTTACTTTCGCCCAAAGCTAGCTGTATATTACCCTTTTTGAGTCCAATTAATTAAGGCTGTGTTTTTTGGATATTTTCTACTATTTGAATATTGGGTGGGGAGGCAATTTTTGCATACGGTGGATTTTTGGGTACGTTTGTCTAAGTAGTAATCAACAAAAACTTTTATGATTGGGTCAATATGTTTGGGACAAACATTTTGTCACGTGTGACCTCTTGTGGTTTATCTAGTACTGTTTCGTTTCCTTGTCCAACCCTAAGGAAACATATGCTCGGTTGGGGAGTAACATATATAGTTTTTTTTTCTCCTCTCTCTTAATCACAAAATAACTAGGAGTATACGACCGGAATGATATAAAATTTAGGTCATGACACGAAAATTGTCCAAACTATATAATTAAGGAGACCAATTACTTATCCCAAAATCGATGTTAGACTAATTCCAACAAAATATCTTCGCCGTCCATTTAAGAAACTATTCAACATTATTGATCACTAGAGAGAAAAAAATAAGAGAAGTAATGAGGGATTGCGTTGAAGATATAAAAATAAATAAATAAATAAATAAATAAATAAAAGTGCGAACAGTTTACTTAATCTTTAATGAGACAATCCGCATAATTTAGCATAAGATATTGCAATTAAAGGTTTCCAACAATACTAATACTAGATGTAGCAAAACCTTTTACAATATGCCACTTTAATTGCTACAGACATGCATCATGGCTGGACTTCAATCAGAGCTGGAGCAAGGATTTGAAATTTATGGGGTTCAGGATTCTAATACGTTTAAGTTATTGGATTTTAAATTAATAATTTATTATTCAATAAATTTTTTAAGACAAATACCGAGTTTAGACCAAAGCTACTTGATTCAGCCGAATCCGTATTTGGCATTCTAGCTCCGCCCTGACTTCAACTAACATGTTTTAGTTCTTAACTACCCAAATTAAGGATTGCATTTTTGAAAAGATAGCATGTGCAGCAAAAGTTTTGAGTTAATTGGTTGAGTTACAAGATAATGGAGTTGAGATCATTTAAAAGATACGTGCACATGGAAGAGAATGTCTACTTAATATGCTGAATTTGTTTGAGAGAAGACCAACTATAATGGAAAATAATTGACTAGAAAATAATTATATATATGGATTTCTAAGTGATTCAACGTAAGATTCTGTGTCCTAATATTGCAAAATATATTCGGGATAGCATTTTCTTCTTGTTCTTGTGATATAAACTGATTGCCTGTAATTGGAGAAATTATGTTCATTTATTAACATGATATTATAATTTCATGTTGGAGGTATCCCGCACAAATTTGCCTTCTCTACAAGTAGCAAATTTCCATATAAGCTCCAAGAATACCCTATTAAAATTGGATATGTTCTTAAACAAATCAATTTTCCATGTAACAGAAGATTATATTGGAGACCTTTTTTGTTTTTCTTTTATTACTATTCCATTCCATGTAACAGAAGATTATATTGGAGACCTTTTTTGTTTTTCTTTTATTACTATTCCATTTCGTAATTTTTTATTTTTTTCCCCCTCTTCTTCTTCTTCGACGAGAGAGAAATATGTGTATTCGTGGTCGAAATTGACAAACTTAATTCAAATAGATGACTAATTATTACTCCCTCCATTTTACTTTATATGGTAAAGTTTTAATATGTATAAAATTTTAAAAAGAAAGAAAGACTTTTGAAATTTGTGATCTAAAACAAGTCATTGATATTTGTGTGACTATAAATCATCTCATTAAATATAAAATGACAAGTTTAAAGTTAAATTATTTTTAACATTAGAAAGCTACAATTCTTATTAGAGTGGACTAAAAAAAAAATATTGTCACATAAACTAGAATCCGAGGAGTATAATTTTGACAGTACGCTAGTACTTAATTATTTAATTTCGTGACTACTTCAATTCCTAATTATTCATTTTGCTTTACGTTTTTCAGTTTTTCCAAACAAGGCCATAAGAAAATAGCACAATTCACATTGTATTTTACTATTTTCCCTGATCATGGCGAAGTCATAATCGTGGCGGAGTACTCACCTTTCTTCAAAGGATGTCAAGTATTACTTATTCTTCGAAAATTACATTATGTAATTAAATATAAAAAAATTATACTATTAGATTTTCTTGACTTCTTCTTGTATTTAATTACTTTTTTATATTTTGATTTTTCCTAATGAAAATTTTGACTTTGCCAGTACTCAATTAGCTAGTCCATATGTGAAATGATTACGCGTATGCATCTTTATTTATTTGCACACTTATATTGATGTGTCTGCATATACTACATACATATTGGGAACCCTTCTATCAGGGAGATCACATGGCATGTTTTTTTCTTAACAATATCAAACGGTCACAAGTAAATCTTCAAAAATTCGTAGAAAAATCAAGAACCCTACGATCCTGCTTCCATAGAAAAATATTTTATGTTTAATTAGGTACGCAGCATATAGTTCCCTACCATTGTATCTCATGTGACCGACCATTAAGTTTAATTTACCTGGCATTGCTCCTACCCTGTCTTCTCTTCTTTGTATTCTCATATAGTATATACTAAACTTTACTCACTTTGTTTATCAAACAACTAATTCAGACCAACTACTCCACTCTACAAAACGCAGAAAAAGGAACAAAAGTTGTGCACATTAAAGGAAATGGCAACAGAACTTGAAATTACTGAACTCAGGTTGGGACTTCCAGGGGGGAAATTGGAGAAAAATGAGAAGAAAAGGGTGTATTCTGAAATTACAAGCAGTGACCAGAACAGCAGCAACAACGTTAATTACGATGATGGAAATTATAACTACTGTCAAAACAAGAATGAATTTGTGGGGTGGCCGCCGGTTTGTTCTTATCGGAAAAAGAACAGCTTTAAAATGTACGTCAAAGTTAGCATGGATGGTGCGCCATTTCTTAGGAAAGTTGATTTGAGCAATCACAAGGACTATTCTCAACTTGTCATGGCTCTTGAGAAGCTCTTTGACTGCTATGGAATTGGTTAGTGTTACGTTCTCTGCATTTTCTTAATCGTTATTTTAGTGTGTTTCTTACATGTTTGTTTGTACCCTCGAGGTTTATTTAGGCAAGTGATGTTATTGTTATAATACCAATATGTAACATGGAAAAAGAAAAATCATTTAACTTTAATTTTTTTTTAATACAATCTATGTAGTTTAATCAATAATGGATCGAAGTTATATACATTGACACGGTAAAGATTTTTACAATCATCAGTGTAGTTTAATATGTAATAGCATAAAAAGGATAGTTCGGTGCACAAAACATCATGCGTTCACACATGGTTTAGGTAAGGGTCGTACCTTAGGGGTGTGATATGTAAACAATGTACCATAATGCAAGCATTAGTGATTGTTTTCCCGACTCGAACCCGTAACTTATAGCTCACACGGAGACTAACTTGTAATAACATGCATGTTAATTATTATTTTCTTTAGATTACGCTTTTTATAGAGATTTGCTTGTGATTTCGTATAGGTGATATGATTGTGAAAATATTTGTTTTGCATAGAACTTAAGCTCATCTATGATATAAATAGTAGATTAGTTACTATTTTTATTATTTTAGCAATTAATACCTATCATAAAAAATTATTATCAATTAATTTATAAACGACTAATTAATTGTGTAACAGTGTAAATTAATTATTTACTCCATCAGTTCGTAACATTTAAATCAAAAAAGAAAAGAAAAGACAAAAAAGAACTAAAGAGAAGTCGAATTGTCGACAGGAGAAGCATTGGAGGATGCGGACAAGTCAGAGTACGTTCCGATCTATGAAGACAAAGATGGAGATTGGATGCTTCTTGGCGATGTTCCATGGCAGTAAGTTCCTTATTTATTTTAGTTTTTACCTGATGTTCAGTTTTTATATTAAAGTCCAATTAAATTCAAATAGGCGCCGATTAATTATTGTACTGTATTAACTTATATCTATCACTTAATTTGTTGGAATTTAAGAAAGCCATTAGTTTACATTCTTTGAACTTTTTTAGAAATCTTTCCTAGTCTGTCCCAGCAGTAATAACCTATATCGTTAATCTTAAACTTCACGTTTTGGCATTAAAATTAAAATTTACAAATGATTTCTAGGCCATATACATCATGAGTTTTGTGATAGCTCTTCCTCTTACAAATTACAAAAGATTCCCCCCTTATCATATATATATTGAAGTGGAGCCTTAGGGTGGCTATCATTAGTACGATTTATAGGTCACGGGTTCGAATCGTAAAATCGATCATCGATGTGCGTCACTGGGCTGTCATTTTCTCTTATGAAGTGATATATACTGAATTATGTTCTTGGATATCTGTTATATTTTGGTCAGAAAATCTAAAGAACTTGTATGAATTTGCAGAATGTTCAGTGAGTCATGCAAAAGGCTAAGGATTATGAAGAGATCGGATGCGAAGGTTATAGGGATTGGAGCAAGGGACTTTCTCAAGGGAATGTCTCAAGAGAAATGAGGGCATGTCAAATTTATCAGTTACCACTGGCCTAGTGGCTTCCAAAATTTAATTATATTTACATATGTAACTGTAATCTTAGGTGTGATGCGAACACCCTAGACTTAAGTTATGATTTCCTCTTAATTATTCTAATGACTGCAATTTTTTTTATAAATGACTATCTATTTTTCCTCAATAATTAGGCTATGTGAACCCAATTATTGTGCTTAAATTGTGGCCAGCAGTTAACGCATTAGCGTTTGCTACCCTTATCTTTTCCCTTGTTTTAATTCTCTATTTTTGGTAGCTTTTAATTTTTGTTTTAACACAATGTTCTTGAAATTCGAATTCTTTTAATAAAAAGCATATTTTCCGAACCGTATTTTGTCCTTATTGGAGGCTAGATCCGTATTTCTCACTTTTTGGGGGAGGGGTGGGGAGGGGGGTGAGGAATTATGTATACGTCGGTCCAAAACAAAGATGGTGTTCAAACTGAAAGCCCAAATTAAAATTAAAATCAATTAGCCAAAAGTAGATGGTGCTGAAATTGGGATGGTTAAGGACTTGAGGGTCTATTAAAAATTTACAGTTGATCATACTAACAGGGGAAATTTTAGTTTTTTGTCATTGTTGAGCTGTCAAATGAAGCAGAGGTTTGGAAACTCGTCTCAGCCAAGACAAGTTTTACTCCTCACTAACATGAAACTTCTTAAGATTATACCCTATGTTACTCGTACTCTACGAGAATGTTGTCGGATGTATGTCGAATTTTTCAAAAACAATATATTTTTGAAGGATCCGACAAGAATACTATCGGATTTTCGAGAATTCGTGCAACATAGATTATATCCTTAATCTTGAATGTCAAAACTATTTGAAAAAAATAAATTAACCAACTCTGCAAAACATGCAAAAGAATTACTTACTATATATAGCTGTATTAATTTTAAAAAATTAAATTTCTAGTTCCACCTCAAAATTGCTCCATGCAAGGACTAATTAAGTGATTAAACAGACATCTAATGAGCTTGTCAATGTCATCCCTAGATCAGGTTAATTCAATATATAAGATAACAGAGTTACCAGTATTTTTCTTCTCCTTAAATATCCATTCACTATGTTGAACTTGGATCTATCAAACACCTCTAATCAGAGGCGGAACCATGATTTCAAATTTATGGGTTTGAGATTTTAATCCTTTTAAGTTACTGAGTTCTAAATTAATAATTTATATATATTCAATGATTTTTTAAGACAAATATAGAATTTGAATCAAAACTGTTGGATTCGACCGAACTTGTTCCTCGTACTCTAGCTCCGCCTCTGCCAATAACTCGCAATGTCATGGGAATTAGGGCTTTAGCCTAGCCTAGGAGAGTTAAACTATGAAACTAAATTATCAATATCAAGTAGCTAGATAAGCATCACAGCTATGTTCATGCATACTGTTCAAAAATGGAAAGATTCCTGTTTAAGTCGAATGGATCAATTATCTTTTTCTTGAATAATGAAATACTGATGAACCTTGAGTTTTGGGTATAAGCAGTGACGTACCGTGTGAATATTCTTTAGTTATCACAACTAGGACTTATACAGTATTTATTTAACTAATCGATGTACGTAACCTTCATTCAGTGGTTACATGCACACAGACTTGGCTTTAACTTCCACCAAAAACCCTACATTTTATTAGTCAAACCTTCAGTTCTGAACAAGCAATCAATGCACTTAATTACAAACAAGGATTTGTGATATACTAATAAGTATTTCTTCCTCCTTAAGCAGTAATCATGAGTATGTGGAATTTTTCAAGCGAATCTCAATTTAATCAGAATCTAATATAAATATTAAACAGTGGACGGGAAATCAAAAAAAAAAAGTACACATAATTATTTCAAGCAGACTTTAGAAACCAAGGAGACTTGTATGATGACTATCAGGAGCGGCTCAAAAATATGCGGGGCCTAAAATCAAAATTTAGTATATATAAGGGCTAAATTTTTAAAAGAAAGTTATAATATTATTTTTATTTGAAGTCTATTCATCTAACTTTTTGAGATACGAAATTATTAATAGTCTTTTTTATAATCGATTTTTTTAATAAATCCTTTTCAATTGATAATATGGTCAATTCATCATTTAATCTTTCTCGAGAAATTATTGATCTTAGATAAGATTTATAGAGCAATAAAAGTATAGAACTATTGGAAACTTAAAAGTATTGTTGAACACTGGAACTAATGAAATCTTAGAATAAGAAAGTAAGTAAGAATATCAAAGAGAAAGACAAAATATATTGGGGTTTCTGAAATATGAACATATTGGAAATAAGAAAGATTGACTCGAACAAATTAAGGAAGAGGGTAAATGTTTTACACGTTATCTAATGAAGGACTAAAAAGTGGAAAATTAAAATGTTAGGAAAATTATTCATCTACCCATTTTTAAGTAAGTTAAGCTATTACTTTATTTATATATCAAAAAAAAATTCTTTCTTTTTATATTAAAAACTCTACTTTTATATTAAAAGTACTAAATATTATTTTTTAAATTCCTATAAACCTATTATTTTTTTAAAAAAAATGGGGCCCTAAATATGGGGCTAAGGCACAAGCCTTCCCTTCCATAATATTGAAGCCGACCTGATCACCATGTTCTTAGATCACGTTACTCCTCAATTTTTCATACATACGCGAATAAGGCACTGTATGTATATTTATATTTAATACAGTCCAAGAGAGAATCAAGAATATTATGCCGATATGTCAACAACTAATTCACATTATTAATTTGCGCAGATGGAGAATCTTCAACCGATGCATATAATTTAGTAATAATAACATATTTTAATATGTTTAATAAATATATCAACTAACTAAACTGAAATGGCCCATAATCACCATGTAGAGCTACGTCCGACAGAAGGCATTCTTTTCGATGATGTTAGGGAATAACATGTTTTAAATAATGTTAAGTTGGTTAGTTTATCCACTATATCACATGATTAAGTTTATACAGAGCTACGAGTAGTAAACTAATTAAAATGTGTACATTCGGTCTCTTCTTTCTTCATTAAATGAGAATTGAGGAACCGTGGAATATGTCGGGGTTTCAGTCAGCATCTACCTTATCAGATATTTATTAATTCCCATATGACCACCAGACAATTCAGTTATTGCAGAACTTACATATACGCTATGAAATCAAAAGTTTCTTTCATACTACATCCCAATAGTTTAGTTAAAGTTTAGTTTTCTTTTACTTTTGGCAATATAATTACTCCATATTTTTCTTCGGCAAAAATTGTCATCCCGCGCGCCAGCAGAATAAGAAAATTAATTCGTTCAGACTCAAAGTTAAACAATGTATTAACTTTATGTCTTGCAGTCTCCTCATTTACTTTACATTTTTCATGTTCATATTTTCAAGTTCGTTATGTTCGCGATAAGGGATACGAAAGTACATAGTTTGTGACAATGGACTCGAGAGTACACGTTAAGTTTGCAGCCATTGTCAAAAAAGAGCAGCGAATGTACTCGTGACTTCACACGTACATGTCACTACTTTAAAATTCTAGATCTGTCTATATACTATTCAAATAAAATTTTAATTACCTTTCAATTCCTATGTTTGTCTACATGCTTTAAATGTACTTCACTACAAGAAGAACTCAAGATGGATACTTGTTCACACACATTGAAAAAGTTAATATGATCATAAGGGCCATTTCTATGAAAGGTCAGTTTATTTTGTTTTTCTTTCAAGAAAAGGATGATACAATCGAACTTCAAAGTATGCTACGTTCAATCACTTCTAGTAAAATAACTTTAAACGTCGAAACACAACAATAACTGATCCACGCACAATGTCCATGCCTAACACGGCGTTTAAATTGATTTTTCGGTTAAAAATCAAATTAAATTACTCTGCGAAAAAGAAAGTTGAATAAACTTTAAAAGCTGATAAACTTAATTGTGAAGATACTAGAATCATTTAGACACGTCATAACATATCATGTTTGACAAAATTAAGCTAATGATTATGCATAGCGGTGTCAATGGATATTTAATAATCGATTAAACCGACCGAATCGTACGGTACCGAATCGAGTTTTAGGTTTCTTTTAGTAAAATCGTAGGTTTTTATATAAATCTACAACTGTACCGATAATTAGTGTAGGTTTTTTATTTTATAAGAATAAGCCAAACAAATACCGAACCGTACCGAATAAATTTACTTATGAAAAATATATATTTATATATTAAGCTTAAAAATAATAAAACATTAATTTTTTCCTTGAACTTTGGAATTATGAAAACGGTTACAAGCCAACAAGTAATTAAACTCAAAATCCTTATTCCTAACCTATTGTGCTACTCCTACTGAAACAAATTATTTCCAGCATATTCACTAACAAGACACAAAGTATTCCAACGATTATGAGTAGCAAATTATAATGTATTGAATATATATGTTCCCTTTCGTATGATTTAGATTTATCTTTTTGAATATTTGATCTTCTATAGACTTTATTCTTAAGTCCCATTTTGGTTAAATATCTTTCCACTCGTGTGATTTATATTTTTTTTTAATCTTTGCTTAGTTTCTTTTAGCTATAGAATAGTAGATGGATCTATATTGTGGCTATCTTTCATATTTTCTTAATTCATCACACTTTAAACTGTACAAATATCTAGAGAGTTTTGTTAAGTCTTATAAAAGTACGCATATTATTGCATTCTACTTATATTAATGACTTTTATATCGCATTTAAAAGAATACCGAAAATTAATTGAACCGTACCGTTACCGAAGAGAAACCGACATGATTGGGACGGTTTCGAAAAGTCTAATTTTGGTTATACATGTAAGCACGTAATTTTTGACCCGTGCAACTTTTAAAAGTTGTATTTTAAAAATATTTACTTATTTTCATTTTTACAGGATTTTCATCAACTTTTAATTTTTATTTTAAAACATAAGTTTAAAAACACAAAAATAGTTTATTCTTATTAACTAAGATTAATTATTTTATTTTGGTAGTATTTTTATTTTTATTCAATGAGAAAGAATTAAATTTGAGCCAATTGGGAGCTCATTTTCGGATTTTAGTGGCCCAGCAAGACAAATGCCCATTCTTCCCAATTTCTTTTAGCCCAAACCCTTTTCTCACCTATCAAACCCCTCCCTTAATCATAGTCTTTCTTTTAATCTAATCCAATGGCCCATACTCCTTTACCCTACTACATAAAGGCCAATTCTTTCACAAAACA